GACCTATGAAAGAGTATTAGAATATGCTAGATCGAGCTTATACATAAAAAGAATTCTAGAAGGTGAATTTAAGAAATCCAAGATATGTTTGATAGAAACGTGAAATCCCTAGTTGAGTCTAGGAGAAATTGTTGTATGTACTTGTTTAAACACACTTAGGTGTGAAAAGTTGTTTTGTGAAAACTTTTAAATGGTGACTTGGGAACTGCGAGACAATACTTGGGACGAGTATGAGTAGGTGTGAATAGTAGTAGAGGCCTATACTACTGGAAGCACAGGACTCACACTTGGATCAAGGAAAGTCACAAGGCTACCAAGAAGCTTGTAATCGATTCCGTTTTTGTTCGAGTATGTCATTACCTTCGTTTCGGTGATGACTAAGAAAATGATTTTCATTCAGACCTTAATGGTCGTAAAGAATCGAGTCCGACTAATATAGATCTGCATTGATTGGTTCAGAGAACCATGCAGAACTCTTGTACTACGAAAAGATGGTATGCATCCCTATCGAAGGGGAGGATTCTATTTATGTCTATGGTGAAAATAATAATTTCTTTCTTAAAAACTCGTAAGTTTATATCGAAGGGATATTCTACTTATCCGGCTTATACAGTTGATATCTCAAAAGAGGGGAAGAAAACTGTAAATGATGTTCCCGTTAATAATGAAAATCCTGATATTTTTCCCCGATGATTTGCCTGGTCTTCCCCCGATAGGCAAATAGAATTCTGAACTGGCTTTATGTCTAGTGCTGCTCCAATTGTCAAAGTTTGCTAGACAGAATGATAGCATTTGGGTAGTTATCGACCGACTAACTAAGAGTGCACATTTTCTTGCCATGCGTGAAACAGCTTCAATGGAGAAATACGCACAAGTATACTTGGATGAAACTGATGCGAGACATGATGTGCCACTAAAGATTATTTCCAATCGTGATACTTGCTTCACTTTTCATTTTTGGGCAAGTATGCAATGTGAAATGGGATCTCGTGTTACTCTTAGCACAATCTATCATCCCAGACTGATGGTCAGAAGAAAAGAACAATCCAAACAGTAGAAAATATATTGAAGGTATATAAAGCATTATATAGGCGTAAATGTCATACTATGTTGGCATGATGTAGGACAGAAAGTCCTTAGTGGTCCTGAAATGATTCAAGACACCACCGATAAGATTCAAATCGTACGAGAAAGAATGAAAGCGGCCCAGGATCGACAAAATTCCTATACAGAAAAGAGGAGGCGACCCATAGAACTCCAGGTGCGTGATTTTGTAATGCTGAAGGTATCCCCGTGGAAAGGCCTTATGCGATTTGGGAAGAAAGGAAAGTTGAGTCCCAGATTTGTTGGACCTTTCAAAATCATCCAGAGAATTGGAAAACAAGCATACCGATTGGAATTACCTGAAGATTTGACAGGTATTCATGATGTGTTTCATGTGATTTATCTGCGCAAATGCTTGAGCATATATGATGAAACGGTTCCGTTATCCGAGGTGAAATTGGATAATAAAGTAAGATATGTAGAAGAGCCCAAAGAGATTATAAACGAGAGAACGGTTGATTTACGTAATAAAGAAGTAGAGTTAGAGTTTATTAAGTGGAAACATCATCGAAGCCCAAATTATACTTGGGAAAGTAAGAATGAGATAAGAACGAAATATCCCCAATTATTTAAATCGGTGTGATTTCGGGGACGAAATCCTCAAAAGGAGGAGGTATTTGTAACATACACTTTACTAAACTTGTTCAATTATCATGTTTCATATTTATTTTAGTTTAAAAATGAATATTATTAGATATTATGTGGTTTTAAACGTTTAAAGTAGGTAGTTATAATGGAATAAAATTATATGTGTTAAAAACACCATTTTTCGATACGGTTTTGAGCGTCGAGTTGTAACGAAATAGTTTTATAAGATTTGAAGTTAAACTAAGTTTAGAATCATTTGGAAGGTATTGGAAGTGATGGGGATGTCTTATGTGATTCCGATCAAAAAGTCAACTATCGGAATTAACGAAAGTATAACGTCTAAGTTGGAAATAAGTAAAACTGGTTTTATTGGAAGATCGTTTCTGTAATATTTTTATTGGAAGTTGTAAATTATCTCGTTAGAAACGTATATGCGAAAACCTCATCGAAAACGGAGTTCCGAGCGAAAAGTTATGCAATTTTTAGTGTTTAGGGGTAAAACGGGTACCCAAATCGGGTCAAACCCGACCCAACTCGGGTTTTTACCCATTGAAACACGATTTTGGGTCATTTTTCTGCCATTTTCAGTTCCTCACCATCCCTATGGGAGATTTTCACACACATGATCAATCGTGAACAACTTTTGAAGATTAAATCAAGATTTTGAGTGTTCTTGAAGTATCAAGTCTAGTAATCAAGGTATGAACTCTTAATTTTGGATTAACCCTTGTAATTAGTGAGTTATTAAGAGATTAGGGTTTGATCAAAGTGGGTTTACCGCTGATTTCATGAAATTAGACATGAGTTAATTTTATTAACCTAGAATCTTAAATGGAAATCAAGTAACTACATGTAAACTTGAGAATTAATCATGGTTTAAGAGTAATTAGTGAAAATTAGTAATGAAACTCATTGTTTATACTTGAATTAGAATGAATTGCTAAAATATTCAGTGTTATCATTGTAAAACAAGAACTTAGTGATATTGATCATGAGGTTTGATCATGTAAAGGGTAAAATGAAATCATAAAGGGTAAAATTGTCCTGTTTTTGTAAAAACCACCAAAAATAGTAGAAAAATTGTATGGATATGTGCTCTATATCCCTGGAAAGCTGAGAATGTGTACTTTGATTTTTGTTTTAAAACCAAAATCTAATTCCGGACTTAAGATGGGTGAAAACAGCTATATGTTCAGTGCAGTAAGGCTGAATTTTGACAGCTTTGGGACATTTTGACAGCTTTGGGATGCTGTGTTGTAAAATTCATAGTAAATTATAGAAAAATCATAAAAATGTGAGGTCACTGGCATTAGAAAGATATAAGAGTCTATTTTGTTAATATTTAGAATTTGTTAGTTATTTTTGATATTTAAGAAGGGTAAAACAGATCTGCAAGTGACAGCTATACAAAGAACAAAAACTAAAATTTCCAAATTGAAAACAACATAACTTGAGATTAGTTGAGTAATTGCTTATGAAATCTGAAATATGAACTCAAGGGGTATAATTGAAGGTTTTAGTGGCCTGAGGATGGTGTAATTTCATCAGAATTCAGAATTCTATCGCAACATTCGGTTACAACACAGTGAGTTCAATATATAGGAACAATTGTATGTTATGTGTTATATGTGCTTTGTGCTTTTCCGTTATTAGTTCCGCTATTTTGATAGCAAAGTTATACCTTTGACAATGTGATCAGTGAAATGACTTAGATTCACGGTGGTACTGGTATGTAGCCTCTGGCCATGTAGAGCATGTCTCGTAAGAGAATGACTTCTATTCTATGGTATTGGCAGAAGGTTAGACAGGGCGTGAAAACCTGAAATCTACCTTAATGTTAATCAGAAATTGTTTGTCTTCAGTGCCATTTGGGCCGAAGCGTTATTGATGTTTATCAAGTATTGAAATTGTTATATCTCATTGACTGTATATCTTTGAATCGAGTCATTGATTGATATGAAAAGCCTGTCACATGATTTCTCATATGCCTTTGTTGTTCCTCTTTGCTTCTGCCATATTGATGTATATATATGACATAACGTTATATTGTATCTATTATTGAACTCACTAAGCGTCACTGCTTACCCCTCTCAATGTTTAACAATTGCAGGAAATAAATAAGCAGTATGGTAGTATACTGTTGGAAGATTTAGAATAGTTTGTAATAGTACTTTTGTATTTCGGTTTATGTTTGTATAAAATTACAATATCCTGGGTAGTTATGTAAAATATTAAAACTTAGTCGGTTTGTATCCAGTCGTTTGTAAACAAGTTATCAATGTAAAATATTATTTGTGAATATGCATGTAGCATGTTTTGGAGTAATAATGTAGAATTTATGAAAGTGTGGGTCTTTCAACATCTGTTCTCAACGGACTGCTTGGAGCATATAATCAATATTATCCATCGATGCAAGCACAACAATGAGTCAGACAAGAAGAACTTCACTGACATGCTTCGGTGGTATATTACTTTTCATCATACTCTACTGGCCATTATACCGAAGGTGTTCAAGACCATCAAGAAGTCTTCTATAGCTCAACCAAAATGAGCTCTCGGCTCCATTGACGTAAAGAGGGAGATTGTTGGGTATTTTGTGTTGCGTCATTAGCTTTGTTTTTATATATCCGGATTGGGCCTGTCCATCCGTGATTATTGATTAGGGTTAAGCTATTTATAATGCATGCATGTATGGCTTAGATACGATCGTCATTATTATTATTATTGCTTTATAACCCTAAACACCTCTACAGTCGAAGTTCTTAATCGAGCTCTTCTGAGGTGTTAAAGCTTAATCATTCGACATCAGTTAAACCATTTCTGTGTTCTTTATTACGTTATTTATTGCTTTTCTGCTTAGAATCAATCGATCCTACTAGAACTTTGTTCTAACAAAAACCATATGACCATTCATGAAATTATCTTTTTTAAAATTATTGATATAAAACTGTATCAACTTTTTGTTATAAATGATAAAGAAATAAATCGGTATATTAAAAAAAAAATGACAGATATGTAAGATGTCATTTTCGGTTATTTTACATGTATAAATACAATAAAAACATAACTTATCAGCTTACGTACACCAGATACGCAAATAACAATTTTACAAAAAGACATAAAGCGTTTTAAATAAGTAAATCCCAAACACCCAATATATCAAAACACTTAAAACTAACTATTTGACTTCAATTCGAAAAAAATACTTCAGTTCCATAACATACTACTAAAAGTGAATGGATCCCATGATACATTAAATACCATCATGATAAACGATTGAATTCATTTCATGGTATTTCATACATCAGTTCCATAGCATGGTGTTTCTTTTGGACTTAATGCAGAAAATCAAGAAAACAAGACTTTCCCCATTAAGATGTAACTTTTTACAAACAAAGCAAGTGTAAATCTGTCGTACAACAATTTACAATCTTTTTATGAGTACATATATGCCGATTAACTGGGCAAAAACATACAATACAACAATCATATGTTTCACAACAATACGTTGACCAAACACGATAAAACCCGGTCTTTCGTGGTATATGATGATGATGATGATGATGATGATAAATTACAAGGATTATGAAAGTATCTATAATCTTACATGGCGTATACAATCTCCCCACTGCTGTCAATATCAAGATCCGGATCACTTTCAAGATCCTCGTCCATGTCATCATCGATGTCCAGGCTGCCAGTCAGATACTGGTTGAGGTTGTGGGCCCCAGCTGGGGGAATAGTAGCTTCCGCTATTATCTGCATAATTTCATCAACACTTTGTGTGGGTTGCTCCGGCCCTCCAAATTGATCTATTGCATTATCATTCATAAGGTCTCCCGGAAGGTTCCTCATAAACCATTCATGGTTTCTAATCTCATCCATCGTTATTCTCTGTTTTCAAGTACATAAATTACACCCACATCACCAAGAAATAAAGTAATCAGGCGCATTTGTTATGTTGCACAAGACAAAACATACATTGTCAATGGGACATAAACTGCACCTTTTTTGTCCCACACAAAAAGGTGACTGACTGTGTGTACTAAAAAAGGTGTGATTGTGACTTGTGACTGATGTTAATTAGATAAAAAATTGAACTTTTTTTGTCTCACACAAAAAGGTGGAAGAGAACCTTAGAAGGTTCAGCTACAAAGATTCTGGAGATCAAATGGCGGCATCCAGTGGAAATATGAACATAGGCAGGAATCGAGTACTGAACGTTAAGAATTCGCTGCAAAAAAAATTCTATCGCTCGAGTCAAGTATTTGCAAATGGGAAGCTGCCAAAAAACTACTGTGTAATTAGTAATTACCTGTATTGTCTTGCGAAAATTCTTAGGTTCTTCAGGGTCTTCAAAAGGGTAAGCTCCCACAAGCATTACATATAATGTTACACCACATGACCACACATCTGCCATCTGTGCAAAAAGACGCAAACGCCCTTCTTATTATATGCCCCGAATCCTGTGATACATAAAAGAAGATAAATGTTGCTATTACAGTATCACTAACCTTGCCATCATATTCTTTCTTTAGTAAGACTTCAGGAGCAATATATGCAGGTGTTCCAACTGTTGATTTCGGTTGTGAATGCAGAACAGATGACTGATTATATCAAGAACCACATAATATTAATTTTCAAAACATTAATAGATTAAAAAAAATGTTACATTTTATACCTTGGAATATCCAAAATCACAAATCTTGAGCCTGGGAGCTTGGCTGCCATCTAAAAGTGTGTTTTCCAGTTTCAAGTCGCGATGACATACTTGCTACATAATACACAAACATATAGTATTACATTATTTTCAGCTATTAAATTTACAAAATATATGAAAATAGTAATAGTTATAATTTTATAAAATACCATATTATGACAATAACCCACTCCTGAAACGAGCTGCTGGAAAAAGAATCGCGCCTGCAACACAATTATATCACTAATTCTTTAAAACAAATATGAATACAGATGTTATTATAAGTAAATGCATCATATACAAAGTTACAAACCTCATCTTCTGGAAACCTCCCAGCATTACATATGCGCTCAAACAATTCTCCACCAGATGCATATTCCATTACAATAGCAAGATGAGTTGGTGTCAAAATGACCTGGAAATCAATAGAAAATCATTACTAAAAAACCCTTTTTGATTCCTGATATAAGTATTATTCTAAAGTTTGAAGAAAGAACCTCTTTGAATCTAACAATGTTGGGGTGCCTGAGTGATCTGTGGTTGATAATTTCCCTTTGCACATTTTCATCTATCTGTTGGATTCATGGCAAAGGGAATCAACGATTTTGAAAAATAGCGAAGAAAATAAAAATGGTGTAAAAGAACTCGATTTGAAGACTGACCTTCTCACCTCTCTCGATATACTTGACTGCAACAAGCTCGTTAGTCAGTTTATCCCTCATCAACCTCGCGACGCCAAAATTACCTGAACCAATGTCTCGTACAAGCTCATATCGATCACTATCATGCATAATCGGCATATCCATACCTGGACCCATCGTAAGTGCCGATCGATCCATCTTATTCTTCCACAGCAATCAAAACCCTAAAAACCCAAATCAAAAGTCCTCCAGCCACGTGGTAATCATTCACAGAAATAACTAGTCGATTTTCGTCTGATCAGGAGGAGATCATCACAATCAAACAGTTGAACGTCGAACAACGTGGCAAGATACCGATCACATGGATTGGGGAGGGGATTGTGAGTTGATTTTGGTTGGTGAAGTGAGATAGAGACTGAATACCAAAAGTGGGTTGAAATCTGAAACCTCGTGAATCTTTACTTCGCTCAACCACAAACGCTTAGGGTTTTAATTTCTTAATCTTTTTTTTTTTTGGTGGTGATGAGGGATGGCGATGACGATGAACGGGAAATACGGACTTTTTCCCGGGAAGTAGTGAAATGACGTATTTACCCTTTAACGTTGGGCATGGGGAACATGGATGGATAAGGTTCACAAAACACAAGGGACCTTTATTTATTTATTGTGATACGTCCCCCTTTTTCTTTTATTTTATTTAGCTAGGATAGTCTACAACTACTACACACAATAAAAATTAGTAACTTATTTTTATTTTATTTTTGATAAAATATTAAATAGTTATATATTTATAAGGTTTTTCATAAAATAATCTAATTTTTTATGAATTTTTTAAAATAACTTAATTTTATGTGGTGACCATCCAATTAGTTGTTTGTAGATTTTTATTTGAGATAATGACTTATAAGAGTAACATAGTTTTGGTTTTGTATATATTTAGTATTTTTTTTTATAGACATGTGACCATTGAATTTGTTTGAATTGTTCACAAAATACCATTATTACTGGTTCATGTATGTTTTTAAGTCAATGATGTTTTGTTTTTGTACACATTTGGTTTCTATGTTTTGTTTTTGTACACATGCAATCACTTATGTTTTTCTTTTGTACATATTTAGCCATTCATGTTTTTTTAGAGTTATATATTTTTCCAAAAATAGCAAAGTTTGAGGAAATTGACCTCTTCTATCTTTAATAAATACCAGTCAACCATATAGAATATTAGTATTCATAGAAATAAATATCTAAATATTCTAAGCTAAATGAGTTTACTTTGGACAAACGAATGTTAACAGGTTGCACCAACCTTCAACACATCTTCAAAATATTCAAATTCATTAGGAGTGTTATCATGTAGAGCCTCGAGCTCAGATGCAATGAATTAACCAGGTAACTTCAATCCAAAACCTAGAAAGTTATGATATGCACGCCGCCTGTAGTGTCGCAATGCTTAAGTGTAGCTTCACAAAGCCGCCAGAGCCCAAAACCCTAGATCTTGGATTTCGACCCCGATTTAAAGGATGTTATGACTAGATTTTGCTCCACCTCAGCCCCCATCACCCTCATAGCATCTTCTTCAAACCCTTGTCACTCTTTGTGATGTTTAAGCTTTTATTGCTTGTTCTTGCACATTGAAGGATAGGATTATGTAACACTTGTATCAGGTAGTATTTTTTTTTTCAATATTTTTAGGATTTTGCACTAGGACTCGACGAGTTGGGGAGTCCAACTCGATGAGTAGAGATCGTTTTGGGGATGCAGGACTTAGGGCCTACTCGACGAGTTGGAAGGCCCCAACTCGACGAGTAGGCATTGTAAAGAAAAACCCTAATTTTCAGGGATTTATACCTTATTTAAAGAACTTATGGCTCATTTTTGGCCTCCCTCATTGCCCTTACTGTCCAGAGAGAAACCCTAGCCGCGTTTTAGTGCCTTCTTGAGTGTGGGTGAGCTTTGGAGAGTGAATCTTGTGCTTTTTGGAAGGAAACTTGAAGATTGAAGAAATTGAAGTGATGATAGGGCTTTAGATCCGACATCCACTCTGTGTTAGCAACCTTTTGAGGTAAAAAGTCTTTACCTTGGCTTTCCATTTCTTAGATCTTCTCTTATGCAAGAATATGGTCATTTCTAGTGCAAAATGGAGTCAATCTCGGGTTTGAGCTTGTCATGAGGACATGGTCTCAGATCTGGACTCCTCTAGGCCCCATGGTCATAAAGTTGTCGACTTTATCTGTGACATCCCCAATTTCACGGCCAGAAAAGACCGATTTAATTTATGCTTTTAAAATAATTTCAGAGTAATCATTTGATTAAAAGTGTTGCGGAATTTGTTCCCAGAAAAACATGATAAATATGTTATCAAATCATTTCCGAAGAAATGTATTTTTATTCACTTAAACCATTGGGATGTCATTGTCAATACAAAAACATAAGCATAAACAAAACTTACATTCATTTACACTAGTGATCTACTTCTCTTTTAATCTCTCAGTGTAAAGCAACTTCGTATCGATACCTGTGATACAATTAAACTGAGTGGGTCAGGCTTGAGAGCCTGGTGAGCATATAGGGTTTTCAACCCACAATAAATAATAAACTTATTAAGTTCTCAATCAACAATAAATTTATTAATTTCATCAACCAAAATAACCCTAATTACCCATTCCCATTATCGTCACTTTACGTCCCTAAAACAACTATCACAAGGGACCTAGCCTAAGGATTATCACTAGGGGTGACAACATTGCTTTGGGGGTTCCTCAGCAAGTTATGTCAAATAAAACAAACATCGGGGTGACAACATTGCTTTCCCTCAACAAGTTATGTCAAACAAGACATCCTAACATAAAACAACCAACAAGGTGACAACATTGCTTTCCTTCAGCAATTTATGTCAAATAGGCACGAATTCACATCGTCGCCATGTGCTAGTCCATAGCTCTTATTCATCGACGGTATTTCCCACGGGAGTCCCCCCCCCCCCCCCGCAATACATGTTAATGGGTTTTCCATATGCTAAGTCCATAGCTCTTATTTATCGATGGTATTTCCCACGGGTGTTCCCCCCCGCAATACATGTCAATGGGTTTTCCATACAGCTGATGAACATAATTAAGGGGTTTCCCCAGCCTTACATGCCCTAAAGGCACTCATGAGGGGAATAGAGTACAGCGAATGAACACTTAAGTCCATTAACACCTACATGTTATGAGCCTACTAGTGTTCCACAGACCGTCAAAACCGTCCATGGTTGTCATCCATACTCTGCTGAATGACGGGGGTCTTAGAGTACAACGAATGAACACTTAAGTCCATTAACACCTACAGGTTGCGAGCCTGCTAGTGTTCCACAGACCGTCTAGAACAGTCCATGGTTGTCATCCCTACTCTGCTGAATGACGGGGGTCAATGTTGGGTAAGGGCTTTTCTCATATTGCACCACTCACGCCAACATTTGGGTAAAAGCTTTTCCCATATTTCACCACTCACTCTCAACTCATGATCTATATCACTGATCATCTCATCTATCCAACTCACCTTTCATCACACACCCACTATCTAACTCATGATCTATATCACTAACTCATGAAGCTCGTCCAATCACTTCATAAAAGAACAAAGACTCCAAAGCTCTTCCAAATAAAAGTATAGGGAAAATACTGATAACGTACTCCCGTACGCTCCCGTACCCCGACACGTAATAGTGTCAAAAGGAAGAACTAATGGATGAACACATAGTTCAAAAATACCTAATGAACATATAGTTCAAACATACGTACCGATTACAAGTCTACTACTGGGCTATCTAAAATAGTCTGTGGCCATTGTCTATACTCTGCTAGATGACTAGATCATCTTAAACATCGATACCTCTCATCACTTTTATTTCATCACACATCATCTAATTCATCTACCCATGTTTTACCCAACATATTTGTAGATAAAAATATATATACAGTTTAAAACTTGTATAAAACATCAATTCAACAGTCACCTCAAATAAACAATTAATATATTTACACATAGCACGTATTTTAAGGTAAATACTTCATATCTATGTGTAAGGTGAAAGTGACTATACACTCACCTGATTTAATGAAAATCGGGCATCAATTCGTTTCCTAAAACGATCGTTTCTAATAAAACCGAGAGTTTTATTGAGAAACCGGGCTCTGCGAGGGTCGGGCTTCGAAACCGAAAAAATAAATTTTCCGGGCTTCTCGGGCACTCCGGGACGTGTTCCGGGCGTTGGAAATGATCTCGGGGCATCGGGGGAAGTCAAAATAGCTAAAATATTGAAAAATGGGTAAAAATGACAAATTTGGAATTTCCCCCGGAAGATCTCGCATGGCTTCTATTTATAGGGGTGAGCTTGCGAGGGTTCGGCCGAGAAGGAGGAGTCAGCGATGGCAGGTGGCATCCACGGAGCGAGGCCAGGTGGCGGGTGCGAGCTTCGGACACGCGAAGGGCACGCGGCGCCTTCGGATTGGGCCAGCGAAGCTCGGATGATGAGTCAGAAGCGAGGCGTGTCGGAAGATCATTGGACCGCACCCTCGGTCAAATCAGCAAGCGACGCGTGTTGCGCACGGGCTATGCATGCGAGGATCACGTGGCCAACACCATTTCTTGCGGATTTTCTCGAAAATTGTGCCCATTCTTGTAAAATCCATAACTTTCTCATACGGGCTCCGTTTTTGACGTTCTTTATATGCATGCGTAGGTAAAATTACGCTCTACAACTTTTGTTTAGACTTCGTTGGCTAATTTTGACTTTAATTTTTAAATTATTATTTTTAACAGACCGGGATAGGAAATCCGTTAAAAATTCATAACTTCTTCATCCGACGTCCGTTTTCGTCATAATTTTTACCGCTGTGCTATAAATGACGAGACCTTCGATTCTCGTTTAGGTCGTGTCGGCTAAAAATCGCTCGATCTAAAATTCGAGTTTTTAGCTGTTTACTACTAAGCTGAAACTTCGAAAAATCATAACTTCCTCATACGAAGTCAGATTTGGGCGTTCGTTTTATACCTACTCTCGGTTTAACGAACACTACGAGTTTCGTTTAGATCACTAAGGCTAAAAAGTAGTTTATCAAAAACTCACTTTTTACGACATTCGGCACCGTGCCGGTTTATCGTGAAACTTCGACAGGTCATAACTTCTTCGTTATAACTCGGATTTCGGTATTCTTTAT